AGATGGGGCCAGAAGGCCCCAGAGGCCTTAGAAAATCTCCTGGCTCCACCCGGCACCCCGACCTCGATTCAGTCTCCTCTCTCTGCCCCCCTTCCCCAGCTCCGCCCCACGTACTGCCGGCCCCGGCCCCAGGGAAGCTCTGCCGGGAGAGGCCTCTAGGGGGTTAATTTGCAGTCATCTAATTAGCATTTGTTGTACCTGGGAACTTTCTCTGGATAGAGACCTGGGGAGGAGAGCCGGAGAGGGAGAAGTCTTGAAGCTAAGATGCTCTGGGACAGACCCTGTACTGTGGTTTCCAGCTTGGGCAGGGACCCTCCAAGCTGCAGCTCTCAAACTGCAGGGGCCCAGTGTGTCCCTGGGGCCGGGAAGAAGTGGATCAATGAAACACTGTGTGTATGGGGGGTTGGGGAGGGGAGGCAGCAACTCTGGTCCTAGGTCCCAGTTCTCAGCCTCCTGGGCTGGAATCTGAGCATGGCCCAGGCTGGGGGCCCTGTGTCCTTGTGGGGTCAGCCTTGGGAGAACTGGCCCAGCCCCTGCCTGGGCAGTAGGGTGTCCATAGGCCTGCATTGGGGGGCAGTCTGGGCCCAGACGTGTGTGCTGTCCGGAGGGGGCGGGGCAGGGCCTGGTTTCTTACAAGAAGGCACCCACGCTGGCCCAGTCATGCAGGTCGGTGGCCAGGGTGGCATCTCCGGCCTCAAAGAGGGGCTCCGGGGGGAGGCAGCTACTGCCGCTCTCGTCCCAAGGGTGTTGCAGGAAGGACGTGGCCAGGAAGGTCTCGTCGAAGTCCAGGCTGTCGGCAGCCTGCTCCACTGAAGCCCCCCAGGTGGCCGGGCAGTCGATGTGGCGGCCGTGGACGGTGAGGTCCACGTCCCCATGTGAGGCGGGGCTCAGCGGCGGGCTCAGCTCCAGGGCCTCCAGCGAGCCCAGATCCCCGCCCAGAGTGCCGGTGTCGAAGATGGCCTCCCAGTCAAAGTTGCCCTTGAGGGGTTCCAGCTCGCCCTGCTCCTCCTGGGTGAGCAGCAGGGTGCTGGGGGGCCGAGGGGCCTTGGCCACCCGCTTGGGCAGTGGCTGTTTGCGCTTACGCCCGAGCCTGCCCTCGCCCGCGCCCCAGCCCGCCTCCCCGGTCGCCTCCTCGAACTCCCGCAGCAGCTGTTGGGCCTCGGTGTTCACGGTCAGCGGCCCGGCCCACGGGGCGGCGCTGGGCTCCTGCGCGGCCTGGCGGGCGAAGGCTGGGTGGATGTGGACCGGGGGCAGCCGTCGCTTCTTGAAGGCCCCGCTCAGCAGCCGCTCCGCGTACTGGGGGTCGATGCGCCAGAAGCCCCCCTTGCCGGGCTCGTCCTTCTCCCGAGGCACCTTGATGAAGCACTTGTTCAGGGACAAGTTGTGGCGGATGGAGTTCTGGACACAGGGAGAGAGGAGAGGAGGGCGGGTGAGTGGGCAGGGTCGTGGATGGGGGGCATCCAGTGCCAGTCCCCCCACCAGTTTCTCTCCAACGGGGGCCACTGGGAGGGATGGAGGGTGGCAGAGGCGCTGCTCCGACCAGGAGGCTCTGGGACACCAGCCACGGGGCACGGGGAGCCGGGAGTGCTGTCGGGGGCTTTTGTTCCCTGTTGCCAGGATATCTGCCTGCTCAGTCATCCGAGCCCTGAGCCGCGGGATGGCTCTCAGTGCCACCCTGTCCTGCCCTCCCTCCCCTCCCCTGCCGCTTGCGGCCTCTGGCCAAAGGCCTCGGCTCCCCCAGGGCCTGGACGGCCATCTCTCGCTCTGCCTGGGCCTGGCTGGCCTCTGTTTGTGAAGTCAGTGAGTNCAGCGTGAGAGGCACAGCCCCTGTGGAAAGCACCTGGCTCAGGTAATTGTCCCCCCAGGGAGGCTGATGAGAAGGGTGGGGGTGAGGAGTGGCGGCAGGAAACTGGGGAGGGTTTGGGGTGGGGGCTGGGACAACAGCTTTAGGAAGGCCCCACAGCCCTTCCACAGGGACACAGCTGGCTTTCAAACCCCAGAGCACAGCCCCTCTCCCCTCCCTGTCCTCCTCCAGCCAACTGAAACCAGGCAGGATGTAGAGCCTGTTTCCGATTCCAGTCCGGCCCTGACAAACTGGCCTGAAGCAGGGTCGTGTCTAGGAATTCTAGGACTTGGGACAAAAATGTGTCCCTCAGTCCATCAACCTCCCTCTAGGGGGCCAGCATCCACGCAGAGTTCAGCCCTGGTCTTTGGACTGGGCCTGCTGGATGAGGGACAAGTTCTTTTCACTTGAACCTCAAATTCAACACCCCTAAAGCCCTCTGAACATCCGCCCTCCTTCCTCTCTGAAGTCAGAGTGGGGGCAGTTCCAAGCACTGGGCTCCCTAGAGGTCCTTCCTCGACGGCCTTCCTCCTTCAGGCCCTGGCTCGATGGCGCCTGCGGATCCAGCACGCGAGAGCGTGGGACGGGCTGGAGGGGCTCCCCTACCTGCCAGGTGGGATCAGCGTGGCGGAAGTAGCAAAAGTTGTCCGTGATCCACTTGTAGATGGCCGACAGGGTAATCTTGGTGGCCTTGCTGGCCTGCATGGCCATGCAGATGAGCGTGGCGTACGAGTAGGGCGGCTTCACGTGCGGATTGGTGGCGTAGTCCACATCTTCGGGAGGCGGGGCCTGCAGCCCCGGGGGCGCGCTCCGCGACGTGCACGACGACGTGGGCTTGCCCGGCGTGTGCGGCTGACCCAGGCAGGCGGGGTCAGCCGCCAGGGGAGACCCAGGCGCGGCCGAGCCTGGCACCTGGTGGTAGCCGTGGGGGTCGGCGCCCCCCGAGGGCAGGGCGGGAGCCTTGGCGTTGAGAATAGAGAATTCCTGCAGCCACTGCAGGCTGGTCAGGCTGTCATCCAGAGCGTCGGGCTCCTCCAGGCCGCCCTCCGGCCCGGGCTCCTCCGCCGCCCCTGCCCCCGAGAGGCGTAGCCAGCTCTCCGCCATATCTGTGGGGACTCTCCGAGGGGGCGGTCAACATCCACGAGCCGAGCCGAGGGTGGCCGACCGAGCTCTCTGGCCCGCTGACGCCCGCGGCTCGAGTTACACAGCCTCCCGGAAGAGCGCTTCCATCCCGCGACCCGGGGGGTCGCTTCCTCCGAATTGAATGAGGTGCCTGCGGGGACCACAGGGGGAACTGAGTCCTCTTCCCCCACCCCCGACGAGAGACTGTGCGCAAGGAGTGGGGAGGGGCTCCTCTAAAATGGTCCCCGCAGCTGGGGAGGATCTTTTACTGCCTTGGTCTGGGAAACAGAAGCTGTGCCCGGGGGGTCCAACCTCCGCAGGGTCCGCCAGGCTCTTTTCCTCTTTGAAGTTTTAGAGGAGACTTAATTAGCCAAACGAGGGAAGAGTGTAAGGGACATCCGAGGACATTCTCTTCTCCCCAAGAGTGGGAAATCAACCGCTCTCCCTTCCCTCCATAACAAATGGAAACGGGGCGAGGAGCCCAGGAGGGCAGTATCTTTTTAAAAGGGCTATTAGGATGAGGGAGCAAGGGGAAGGAAGGAAGGAAACAGGATAGAGAATTACAGGGGCGCGGGAAGTGAGTGTCCCCCAAACTTCTCTAATGTCAGTCTCCCGGGCCCGCCACTTCCGTCGGGGAAGGATGGGAGAGCAGGCTGCTGCCGACGCCCTCCCTTTCCGCGGCCGGCAGACCACCCCGTCCCTTACCTGGCTCAGAGCGCAGCACGGGCCAAAGGAATGTTCTGGAAGAAGTTCCTCCCACCCCCTGCGGCTCTCTGACCCCCCCACCCCCAGCTCGAGGGCCCAGCCAGCAGTCCTTGTCGCCCCCACGCCCGACGGCGCCTCTCTGAACGCCAGAGGCCGGGGGACCGGCATTAAGTAGCAGCTCCGAAGGCTTCTCCTGCTGCCATGGCGACGCTCCGCCCCTATAAACAGCTTCCGCTTCTGCCATTGGTCAGTGTGTCTCCAAGGGGACCGCGGGTTCTTAACACTCTCTCTGGCGGTAACTCTCTTCGAACTCCCTCCTCCTGCTGCCTTCTCCCGCGCCACGCAGCCCCCTACCCGCCACCGAGTCCCGGCTCCAAACATTCCCGCGCAAGGGCCCCGCGCAGGGTTCGGAGAGGCGCGCGGCTCGGCGCTGCAGCCGAGGCCCCGGGGGCGCCGGGTGAGCCGTCCCCTGCGGGAACCTCACTCCCGCCCTACCCCCTCCACCGCCACACCTTCCTGTCTGGGCTGCTCCGAGGTGTAGACGGCTCCTGGGACGCAGCCTGGGGCGCGGAGGCCAAGGCTGGGAGCGGCTTAGACTCGGGGACCGCGTGCTTGAGGTTCTCCTTTCCTCTGGGTTGTGAGTGGCACTTCCGCACGTTTCTGCGGCCTATCCCGGTCTCCCGACCCTGATTGTCGAGTGGTGCCCGCAGGCAGGTCTAACTCCCCGATGCCACCTGCCGCTTAGGTCCGCAGACACCCCCATGGCGGGAAGGGTAATCCATGCTTCCTGGTAAGCGCTCCCTCACAGCCCCATCCTCAGCAAGGTTCCCAGAAGTTGACATCCCAGAACCTACTTCGGAAGTGCCTCTCCCTCCTTTCAAGATAGCCTAGGAAGCTGAGCCAGTGGGTGGTACCCAGAAAAGCCATGCCCTTGCCAAATTCCCCTACCAGGATCATTTGCTCCGTTAATTTCACCAACCTTTAAGTGATGAGGACCAACAGCGGACTATAGTCCGTCCTCCTCCCTTCTCCCAGCCTCCCTCCAGTCACCAGCTTTCCTGCTCTTCAATTATTGAGCAGCTGCAGTTGGAAGTTCTCCGGTTTAAGGGCAGGGGGTGGGGGTTGAGGGGAGGGCTCGTTATCACGCCTTTGCACAGGAGCTGCGCCCAGGCCAGGGGACAGTCAACTCCCATCCAGAAACATGTCTTTCCCCATCCCTTGTCCTAGTTCACTCCTTCATATCCAGCTTGTCTTGAGGAAAAATAATAAAGTGTTGGAGAAAGTGAGACGGAAACTTTCACAAATAAGCCAGCTGCGCAGTTAACGGCTCTCCTTCCCTTGTCAACAGTTTTATTCATTTTTAAGAATCATGCAGCAATCCATAAATGTTGCATCCTTGATGTCCCCACTGTAGTGTGCCCACACGTGTACTCCGGGGAGTGAGGGGTACACAGATGGCACGACAGGACACACAGACTCCCGTGTACTAGGTGTGCAGATCCTAAAGCAAAGTGAGAAACCAGCATGCCGAGATCAGGTGGACAGGACACGAACTCTTCTCAGGTGAGATGGCTTACAGTGTGTGGATCTGTGCCCAGGCGATGCCTCAGCGTGGGCATGACCTCTGGGGGTGGGGTGGGACTGGGTAGGGGAAGGAAAAAGGGCTCGAGGAGGCCAGGGTCATGGCACCACTCAGAAGTGAGCTCACAGGTGAGTTCAGACCTGAGCATGGCAGGAAGGAACCCCAAACTCGGGAGTCTGTGCCTTCGTGGGAGAAGCCAGGCCCTGTCACAGGTTCTCTGGGTCACCTGCTTACAACATGATGGTATCCAGATGATGGCTGGAGCATCTGCCCTGTTCCCTGACCAGGCTGAAGACCAGCCTCTCTAGATGGGCTATTTCTAGGAATTTTTTTTTGCCCCCCCCTCTTTGGTCAGACCATGTGACACGCAGGGTCTTAGTTCCCAGACCAAGGATCGAACCTGCACCCCCTGCAGTGGAAGTGCAGAGTCTTAACCACTGGGCCACCAGTGAAAGTTCTACTTGCCAAAGAGCTAAATGAGAGCAGAGAGGTGAGGGGCTTGGGGAGAGAGCAGGAACTGTCTTGAGAAGCAGGCATGAAGAGCCATTTCTCACCCAGGTCAGTCTTGGTTATGGAGCCAAGGCCTTGAGGAATCTCTCTGAGCCTCTTCCAGGAGAAGGCAGACCCTCCAGAAGGGGTGAAGACAATGGCTTCCTCTTATGGTTCCTGGCCGCCGTGGCTCCTGTTTACTTGCCTCGCCTTCATCTCAAGTAACAGCACACTGTGAATACTACCTGCCGGGAAAGCAGGTGGGTCTGAATGCCGCCACCCCAGGCTCAGGGAGGTCCCCATTCCCTCACATTTCTGGGGCTCAAATCTCAGGGAAATCAGGAAATGGGGTTATTGCTCAAATCTTAAATATGATAGGGGCCATACGAATGTTTCGGGGAGAGAAAGGACATGAAGTGGCGCCTGAAATGGCAGAGTCCGCTGCAGGATTTCAGAGAAGGGGATGCAGGAAACTCAAGACAGAGGCAGAGATTCAGGCTTGGCTTGTGTAGTGTCTGTTGGGACTATAGGCCTCCCCACCCCCAGAGCAGGATGTAAACCACAGCCACCAAGCAGTGTGAGGGTCACCACCTGCCTGGCAGCGCAAAGAAACTACACGGAAGGTTCGAAGGGTCCCCTGGGCACTGGGCTCGCTTCGAGGCCTTGGGAAGGACCTGAAAAGCTCTTCGAGGGCCACAATACCAACTATTAATTCAGGTCATTGTGGTGGACGTATCCTAGGGCTCTGTCAATCATGTATCTGCCTTGCAAACTGTTGGAACCAGCTTTGCTTCCCAGTCTCAGGCTCCACTAACAACGACCTCTTCCAAAAGCTGGCAGACAATACACCTATCTGGGAGCCAGGAGGAATCCAGTGATAACACCAGTGTTGAGACACGAACGGTCAACAGCTTACAGTCTGGCCTTGCTGTTTCAGGGTGTCAGTTATATGTCCTACACAGGACTGGAGTGGGGTGGGGTGGACACATAATTTGAACAATACCTCTACATCTCTAATAAGCCTATGGAAGGTAGTACCCGCCCCCCAATCAGGCTCAGCAGATCTGGCGGGGCGGGGGGGAGGCAGGGGAGGACAACGGGTGGGGAGGGGAGCCCCCTGGACAACCCCTGGCCCCAGCTCAGCCCTTTCCCCAACTTACTTTGGGGCTCCTGGGCACCAATTGAGAATCAGCGGTCCACCCCCTTTCTCAACCTGTTTCTTCAAATATTTAAGAAAAGGGGGTGGAGATGGCTACAGTGGGGATAAGAAGGCCACTTGACAGGGCGGTAGTGATGAAATGTGATACCACTCCTAACATGTGCCCTAACATGTGCCTGGCACATAGAAGGGGTCAAATGGTTTTGGAGGTGTCACCATAGGTTGGAGTCCCAGGCCTTCTTGAGTGCACCTGATCATAAATAACCCTCCAGAAGGGAGCCATGTAACTAAGGGATTCTCAGATTCAAGCAAGATTTAGCCTCCTTCCTAAGCAGACAGACACATGAGGCACTGCCTCTGCCACCAGAAAGAAGCAAGAACTGTTTTCCCAACCAACCTTCCAGTGGTTGCCACTGTTTCCTGTCCTTGAGAAAGGAGCTCCTAACACTTTTTGAGGGGGAACTCCACTTCTAGTGCAATATGGCTTTCCCTTTTTGCAGGAGTCATCCCCCAAACCCCCACCCCGAACTGGAAGTTTCAGATTGGTCATGATGTCCCAGAGACCAGAAAATGCTAGCTGTTTGTAATGAAGTCACGCAAACGCCGAGTCCTCTTGGTCTACCCGCCTAAGGAGAAAAAAGATGCACAAGAAACAGCCGGTCCATGGGCCTCAGCTCCATTTGAAGGCCAAGATTCGGTGGAAACATTTTCAAAAAGTCTCTGCAGAGGGTCTCAGGAGCTGCAGTTCATCCCGTGGCTTTAGCCCTCAAGGAGCAAGGAGGCTTCTGGTCCCTTCTGAGAGGGGAAGGATCACGACTGCGGAAGAAGGCTGGGAGAAGGAGCAGGTGCCCTCAAGCATCCAGCTTGCACGTGGGTCTAAAGAGTCTCCACGTATCTTGCTGAGGATGCCCAGCAGGTCAGCAGTGCAGTGAGGCCAGGAAGGGATGTGAGGACAGGAGGAGGGCCCTGGTACACAGGCGGGGGTTCTCAGACGGCCAGAGGCCCCCACACACAGGGCCTGTCCTCGGGGTCCTCCAGGCTTCCGGAGGACAAGCGCCGGCGCTGCGTGTTTCGACGACTCACCACGTTGTCATCGGCCTGCCAGGCACCTGAGAAGGGAAAAGCAAGGTTACTCGAGCTGGACCTCCAGATCGGTCCGGATGGTGTCCCCAGCAGGGCAGCCTGAGAGTTCGGCACGAAAGCTGGCAGGCTGCCCTTTACTTGGAGCTCCCACAGTGTGCCAACCACAGCACGTGAGGCATCAGGAGCAGTGGTGCCCACTGGGCCAGGGACAGTCGCGGACACTGGGGCCCACAATGGCGGGACACACGGGATGGTCCCTGCCTTCTGGGACCTTGCCCTAGGACCCACATCTGTGTCTTTATTTGGTCTTAAAGTCTGCTTCAGTGTTACTGCAGACAAGGAAAAGAAATTGGGTCTAGCTGAGATTTTCGTGAGGCAGGAGGAAGTGGATGGGAGGGAGAACAATAGGTTAATTTGGGCCCAGAGTGAGAGTTTGCTGTGGGAGCCAGGGTGGAGCAGGAAGTGCTTGGCTGTCCAGAGGGTGCCAGGGGCCGAATGGCATGGGGGAGGACAGTGCAATGGCCATTCCTCTCTTTCTGCACCCAAACAGCCCGCTGAGGTTTGCTATCAGCTGGTGCCATCAACCCCAGGAGATGTTAGCCCCAGAGCCGTGGGGTCCCATGGGCACCACCCCCTAAACTCATCATCCTGTCCCCAGGCCGCGGTTCCTGCACCGGAAGCACCGGCTGCCCACGCTGGAAACGCCCACAGCCCTTGATCTGGGCTTTTCTCTCCTTTGTGCTGTGTATCCAATCACGATCTCTGGCTTGTTCACCCTCTGCTGTTGTGTAGCTGCTATATCATGTCCGAGTCGTTGTGACCCCATGGACTGTAGCCCTCCAGGCTCCTCTGTCCATGGGATTCTCAGACAAGAATACTGGGGCGGGTTGCCATTTCCTTCTCCAGGGGATCTCTCTGACACAGGGATCATCGAACCCAGGTCTCCTGCTTGGCAGGAAGGATTCTTTACCGCTGAGCCACCAAGCAAGTGCTGTTCACTCTCTGCTGCTGCTGCTAAGTCGCTTCAGTTGTGTCTGACTCTGTGCGACCCCATAGACGGCAGCCCACCAGGCTCGGTTGTCCCTGGGATTCTCCAGGCAAGAACACTGGAGTGGGCTACCATTTCCTTCTCCAATGCATGAAAGTGAAAAGTGAAAGTGAAGTCGCTCAGTCGTGTCCGACTCTTCACGGCCCCATGGACTGCAGCCCACCAGGCTCCTCTGCCCATGGGATTTTCCAGGCAAGAGTACTGGGGTGGGTTGCCATTGCCTTCTCCGGTTCACCCTCTAGTCATGTCTAAATCTGTAAGTCAGAAACCAGGTACACTCCCAACTTGTAACATACTGACTGTGTGACCCTGGGACAGGTCATTGTACTTGGATTCCCGGGTTTCCTGTCCATCAGATGGAAATGAGTACTCAGCCCCCAGAGTTGCTGGGAAAGCTAAGTGAAGCGACACAGCAGAGTACTGAGCAGGGTGCCTGACTCTTAGAATGTGCTTGGCTCGACAACCAGGCCTGCCCCCAGCCTTGTTCAGGTTCATCTCCTCCCAGCAGTCCTCCAGCCCACAGACTGGCTCCATCCATTCATTCCCTCCAGTGCAACAAGAAACTCCTTCCAGGGGAAAGGAGGAAGCCCTAACCCCCTGGAGTTAGGGAAAGCCATCCAACCTCTGGCCTGAGAACCTCCGAGCTGCCTCTCCCAGCCTGTCCCACACGGCCCCCTGGCCAAAGAGGGTCCAGCGTGTGCCGACTTGCTCCCCCACGGCCTGCACCACTGCCCCCCTCCTCATGCCGTGAAAATTGCTGAATCCCTGAATTCCTCCATTGCACTGTGACCTTCTCCTGGGCGGAGCCAAGAGCCACACCTGGCCCAGCAGGGGGCTCATTCCAAGGACGGAGCCCGTGACCCTGGACTGGGGCCCTGAGGCTCAGTATATTCTGTGACAGAGGCCACTCATGAGGGTCTGGAGTCAGCCTTTGGTTAGGCCCAGCCCAAGACACAAAATCCTTTAATGGCAAAAACACTAGGATTAAGTGGGTAGAAACTGAGTATTTCCCATAAAGTCCTGGTGCAATCATCCATCCTAAACCTCTGATACTAGCCTGCAGAGGTGGACCCCAGGCCAGAGGAGTCCGCAGGACAGAAAACTGTTAGGTTATCTCTCGAAGCCAGACAGAATGTGGGGGTCCCTATTCCCTGGGGGCACTGCAGTCTGGCGCCCTCTAAGGATGGCCCTCTAAGTGTGACTATGGCATGAAGAGTAGGCCAGATCGCCCTTGTAAGTTAAGAACCCCCAGAGAGAGTGAGTTGTTTGTTCAAGTATATAATTTGGTAGAACTCATACCTATTCCTCAATGTTTAGGGGGCAGGACTCCGGAACGGCGGCTGTTTGGTGGGAAAGACCAAAAGCAAATGGTAAACGAGAGAGAAGACACACAGACACACACGCACGTACAAAGTCAAAACGCCGTCTCTACACGGCTACCACCACCGGCCGCCAGGTCTGAATGCATGAGTCCTTGCTACCAACGCCACCGGTCCAGTTCCTGAGCCAGGGCGCACATATGGCTCCTTCCGAAACCACCTCAAGACTCAGACCTGAAGCCTCTGTGCTCCTGGGCTTCGTGACAGTACCCTTTCTTCTAAAAAGGGCCCCTGCTGGACCCTTGGCCAAACCTTGCTGCTGCTCGGCTCCTCCTGCTCAGAGGGCGAGCCTGGGTGCAGCAGGTAAGCCATTCTGTCCAGCCCTCAGCCAGAAAAGGGAGCCTGGAGATTCAGGGTCTTTCAGCAAGGATAGAGAAAGGTGCTTCTCGCTCAATTCCATCCTGGGGACTCAGAAATGGGAGAGTGGAGAGACCTCTGGAGGCAGATTTGGGAAGCACATCCAGGGTGCTTCTGCACACCCCTTCCCTGTCTCTGAAAGTGTTAGTCACTCAGTCACGTCCGACTCTTTTCGATCCCATGGACTGTATAGCCCACCAGGCTCCTCTGTCCAATGGAATTCTCCGGGCAAGGATACTGAAGTCGGTAGCCATTCCCTTCTCCAGGGGATCTTCCCAACCCAGGGATCCAACTCCAGTCTCCTGCATTGTAGGCAGATTCCTTATTGTCTGAGCCATCTTCCTGTCTCTGCCCAGCCACTAATTAAATATAAGGGCTGTAACAGTTCCGACCATCCTGTAGGGTGTCTCCAGGAAAACAGGATGTTCATTTCAATTTTTCCTTAGTATCTGGGAAGTGTAACCCTTCCTAGTAGTGTCTTAGTCTTGGGTTATTTGAGGTCTTCATAAGTACTTTTTTGTTTTCTTCTTTTGTGGCCATGATGCACGGTTTGGGGGATCTTAGTTCCCTAACCAGGGATTGAACCTGGGCCATGGCAGTGAAAGCGCCAAGTCCTAACTACTGGACCACCAGGGAATTCCCTCCATAAGTATTTTACATTTCCTTGGCGATGCCCACTCCTGTACAATGCAGTCATTTAAAAACATTTGTATTTCCACTAAACCATATTATCTTTGCTTTTCCCCATCACTCCCCAGAGCCTTTTCACAGAACTGTCACCGGTCCCCTGAGTACTATCCTGCCACTTGTGTGATACGCCATCATATTCCTTGCAACCACATCTACCTAGCATGCAATTCTAATCTGCTCGCCACCTACCCCTCTCAACTCAGATTTCCTCCCTTTGAGAATCTTTCAGAACAACCTCATAATATACCATATTCTCACTCCCACCCTTAGTTTTCGGGTCCAAGAAGATCCAGAAGCTTCTTAGAGAAAAAGGGGCTGGATTGACACAGGCGCTCTCTCAGTGTCACTCCCACATGGGTGATCAGAGTGGGGAGGATGGGGTCGCGAGCAGTCCTAGCCATCAGCTGGGGATCCTGGCAGGGTACGTGTGTGGCGGGGGGCGCTGGACCATGGGTATTCCCCAGGCTCTGCTTCTTGTGGGCCCTCCGTGAGGGAACTGACATCCTTGTAAAGAGGGAGACTCTCGAAGAGTCCGAGAAGCTGTCCTGGCGGCCAAGCCAGCCTGCAGTACCTCAGTCATAGGGTGGAACTCAGAACTTCCAGCTGAGTGTGATGAAGTCTGTCTATTCCATGGGACCTACCAAAGTGGGTACTTCTGTCATTAACCCGACAGCTCCTTCCAGAGAGTTCCCAGCACTTTGCTACCAGTGTGATGCTAACAGTGGAACTGGAGAAACATGTACCGAGGGAGCAGATGCACTTGCCCTCTCCCATAAGAGCCCTTGAGACCTCTGGGTGAGGCGATGTAGGGACCCCCTCGAGCACTTAGGCCTGGGCCCAGAGCAGCCATCCCAGCCATGTGCTTTCACACGGCCCGGACGCCGCGCTTGGTTTAATCTGAGAATGGCTGGCTCCTGAGATCACCATAAGGAATCCCAGGTCTCACTCCCCTCCTGCAAGCCCACAGTGGAATAAAGATCCACCAGCAGGTTGGCCAGAGGGAGTTAGGGAGAGGAAGAAGCAGACAGAATGGGATCAGTTTCCACCGGCATGGCTGGCTGAAACAATTCCCAGCAGCTCCCTCTGCCAAAAAACAAGGGTGGAAATNGGGGGTCCTCGGGGGGAGGGAGGAACCTAGACTTCTCTCTTAAAGCCCAGGGGGCACAGCTGCTACAGACACAGGGCAGAGATGTCATCTTCCCCAAAGTGAAAGCGTTAAATCACTCAGTCGTGTTTGACTGTTTGTGACCCCATGGACTCGCCAGGTTCCTCCATCCATGGGATTCTCCAGGCAACAATACTGGAGTGGGTAAGCCATGCCCTTCTCCGAGGGATCTTCCCGACCCAGGGATCAAACCTGCACTGCGGGCAGATTCTTGACCATCTGAGCCACCAGGGAATCCCTGGTCATCTTCCCCAACTACTGACCAAAACAAATTCTTCCCGCAACCTTTGCCCCGGATGCATCCATTTTTGAGGAACAGGGATTCATCTATTCTCATGAAATTTTTTTTTCCTTGAAAAAATCCCAGAATGTGGAATATAGGCCCTTGCCAGTTAGGAACGGAAGCCTCGGCAAGAGTCCCTCGGGTGTGCGCACGCCCAGCAAGCTCGGGGTCAGGCACGAGTGAACATGAACTTTCACAGAGTCTGGATAACAGAAATGAGTTTCAAAATAAATAAATCGGACAGACTTACACATTTGGCAAAAAGACATGAGAAACACAATGACAGACAGAAGCCAGGTAAGGAGTGGGAAGGCAGGAATGAAGCGGACCCTGGGCCCCAGCCGCTCCCGGCACAGACTTGGCAGGGTCAGCGCTAAGTGGGGAGGGACCGGAGGGCCCTTGGGAAGGCGACCCTGGGAATTACGGCTTCCCCTGCTGCAAGCCTGCTCGGGGCCAGAGGGGTGAGGACCTGGGTCTTTCGCAGGCTGATGGAGAGTGGCAACCACAGGAGGCTGTCCCTCCAGCCCCATAGGCACGTCACCAAGCAATTAAAGCACTGGACCCACGACAAAGACGTGGGTGTCCTGAAGCGAAGGAAGTCTTCATTTCAGGGCACTTCAAAAGATTACAGAACCACGCAACGTGAAGGCAATCTCTGCTGTGAACCCAGGAGAGGCAACGTCGACCTAGATCACTGGGCAAGATGTGGCTTTAGAGGCCTGTTGGTGGAGCCCTTAGTGAGCAAGGAGCAGAGGGACCTCAGTGCCTGGAGTGTGACCGACAGGTGAGCTTCTCCGGGAGAATGTATCCCAGATTCAGTTAAGCATCGTGGGAACACGTCAGGGGCACCCTGATGGCCCTGATCGAATTTAGAGTTAAGGCTCCAGGGAGAGGAGGCACCCTTGACCCCTGATCTCTCCTCTGGGATCCACATCCAGTGAGCACAAGGCAACTGGTGGTCACCCAGGCCTCCCTGGGTCACAGAGCCACTCGCTCATCTATAAAACGCTGACTCTCAAATTCCTCTCTGATCCTAATGATCCACGCTCCTCTGGGGAGTTGCAAGTTCCCTTTTCAAGGGCTCAGGGCTCTCTAAGACTTTCTCGAAGAGGTGGTGTCTGCCTCCAGTGCTGCTGATGGAAGCAAAACGTGGCCCCCTGCCATGGGATCTGTAAGATTGTGATGGAGGCGCCCTGTCAGGCCAAATCGGAAGGACTGGGAGGGATTTTTGCCCCTTTTCTTCCTGCCCTAACAGTCTCGCTCAGAGCAGGGGTCTCTCTTTGCTCAAGGACTCTCCTTTCAGCAACCGGCTTCCAGCATCTTAACAAAGCCCATGCCTTCTTGCAGGAACTCCAAGGCGGGAGGTGGGTGTCCCAGGGTGAGAGCAGGGGTGCGAGCAGGGGAGGGAGCGTCTCCCACCAAGTTCATGTTCAGCAGACTGCCACTCACCAGGTAAGCAGACCTCAGAGCACAGCTTATTGTCCAGTGCTTTCACGCTGGCGATGTCAAAGTCATTGTTATTGTCACACTCCATACCTAGAAATGCGCATGTCCTCTGGCCTGTAACGGAGTTAAGGCAGTTAGAGAGGGGCTGGCTGTGTTTTTTCTCTGCTTTGCTGTCCTTAAAATAAAAATCTTAAGGATGGAGACAAAAAAAAAAAAATCATATCATATGTTTAAAAAAAAAAAGACAGTAATTAAGTGGGTAAAGAGTGGACAAAAAAGGAATCAAACTGTGTTCTCCTGCTGTCCTGCTGTTTCTTTAACAGGCCCCTTTCCAGCCCGTGTTCCTGGGAAGTCAGACCCTGGGGAGGGCTGCAGGATGTGGGCCCAGGCCCAGAGCAGGACTAAGTCAGGCTGGGAAGAGCTGGGGGAGCCACCGGGAAGCGACTCCGCCTCTGGCCCGTGACTGTGGGTTTGTATGGGGTATGTTTATGACCACAAGGCTCTGCGAAATGACTAATACATAAAACAGCAATTAAAGCTCTTCGGTTCCATAATTTTGCCCATCAAATCAAAGAATCGCTTAGTTCACAAAATTACAATTTATTTTCTGATGAGGCTTAATTTGTTATTCTGAGTACGTTTTAAGGCCACAGTCCCCAACCTTTTAAGGGACTAGTTTCCTGGAAGACAGTTTTTCCACATACCACAGGGTGGTGGGGGATGGTTTCAGGATGATTCAAGCTCATTACATTTATTGTGTACTTTATTTCTATTATTGCATCAGCTGCACCTCAGATCATCAGGCATTAGATGCTGGAAGTTGGGGACCCCTGTTCTAAGGGACTGACACGGAAACCTAGAGTCATGTAAGATGGGGACAGTTTTAGACGTTATTTTTTTCAAGACTTTCCCCTTTTTTTTTTCTTGGTGGAAGGGAGAGGAAGAAACATACAGCTACCGTGCTGGGCTCTGGAACGTCAGGCGGAAACCACTTGCTGCCCTGCACTTCCCAGAGGCTAATATTCTGCGGGGGCGACAATCACAATGGGGAACTCCAGTCCTCAAGACATCCACCGCAGCGCCCAAACCCCGCTGGGCTGGGGCGGAGGCGCAGTCTGGGCCGCCACGCCCCTCCTCCCCGGCTCCCGTCCCGAGTGCGTGAGGCCCCCGCCCGCCGCCCCCGGCCACGGCCAGCGCCAAAGCAGAAGCGACGAGCACGACACCAGTGTCCAGGCTGGGATCCGGGTCTGCTTTGGAGGTCGCCCTTCCGCGGAGGCGCCTCGGAGCAGCGGAGGGAAGAGACACCGGTTCCTGGGCCGCCGGGTCCTCCCCCCCCAGGTCCCAGCCCCGCCCGATCCTGCTCCCTGCTCTGCCTGGAGCCCCCTCTAGGCTTACTAGAAACAAAAGTCTTCCCCTGAAAATATGATTGACCTTGTTTACCAAACAGAAGGAGTCGCGGATGTAGAAAGCAAACTTATGGTTGGGAGGGGGAAGAGGTGGAGGGCTAAACTGCGAGATGGGGATTGACAGACAGGCACTGCTATATGTGAAACAGCTAACTAGTAAGGGCCTACTGTATCGGGCAGGGCACTCCACTCAATACTGGGTAATGATCTATGTGGGAAAGACTCTAAACAAGAGTGGTTGTGCCTATATGTATGTATGTAATAAAATATACATGACACTTATTACATCTTGTACATATATATTGTATATATATAATACATTGTACATATATATTGTGTACCTATATGTATGTATGTATACAATAAAATATTATACATGATACTTATTATATCTTGTACATATATTATATATTGTATATATATAATACGTTGTACATATATATTGTGTACCTATATGTATGTATGTATACAATAAAATATTATACATGACACTTATACCTTGTACATATATTATATATTGTGTATATATATATATTGTACATATATGTTGTGTATATATATTGTACATATATTATATATTGTATATATATATTCTATATATATATAATGGATTCATTTTGCCATAGAGCAGAAACTAACACAACATTGTAAACCGACTACTCCAACTTAGGAGAAAAACCCAGATATAATTGAGGCCTAAGTGACAGTAAAGAGAATCGCCCCCATAGCTTAGAGGACGCTGGCTGCCCCGAGCTGCTGCAGTCTCCAGCAGCCTTCACCGTGCCCCCTGCTGCTAAGGCCCCTCTGCTACTATAATAGCAGCCCTTTTCTTCACTAAAGCAAAACCAGACCTACTGCCTGCAGTCCTTCCCAAGCGATGTAAACTGCCCTCTGCTCCTGCTGCAGCTTAGCTCCAGGGCTGCCCGACCAGCTCCAGGAGACTCTGCTGAGAAGCTGAAGCAGGAAGGTGCTGGGAGCTGCCCACGGAGCTTCAGAATCTACTCCATGTAGATGGAGAACCACCTGAATGATATCTTCTGCAACCTTGGCCCGGGGGCCCGGAAAAAGCTGGGAAGGCCACTGAGGTCCTCGGATACCCTGCTGGCTTTCTGATATTTCATCAAGAAGACAAGATGTCTCCAAAGCCGCACCCTTGAGCAGTGCCACCCAGTCACACCGGTGCCCCTTTCTGTACCGTTTAGCGAATACCCAGGAAAGAAATATGATAACAGGGAGCCAAAGACCAGGTCTTTTACCATCTTCCTGTGTGGGCGATGCGTCCTCTTCCTCTAGAACATCGTTCCCCTAGGACAGAAGGAAGGCGCTATGAGTCCAGAAAGCAGTGACATGAGTGTACTGAGTGGCCACAAAACAGCGCCAACCAGCCTCCTGGCCTCTATGCGTTTCCCATCCACATAAGACGGCTCAGAGGCTGAGCAGGGCAGATTTTGCTTGGTGAGGCAGGATCGGCCGGCAGGGACCAGGTCTGAGGCACATTACAGACGGATCCTAGGACTCTCAAGAATAGTCTTGGTAATGGTTTAGCTCACACTGTCTCTCTAAGGTGGATGTCAAAGTTGTGAATTGGAAAAGCAAACTGTGAGATCAAAACACTTTCAGAAATTCCTTAGGATCCCAAACCCTGTCCAGATATGTCTTTGAGAACTTGTGGCTCAAAAAAGAGTTCTGGCATCCCCACTGTGAGCCGAGTGCTCCTATACAGCCCCACAGCTGGGTCCGAGCACTTCTCATGCTGAATTACAATCCTGACTCCTCCACCGGATGGAGCTCCTGGATGGGTGGAGTGGGTGGGGGGCAGGCTAAAGCCACGTCACTTGGTCAGTGTGCCCCCACTGCCAGGAAGCACCCGTGAGCCGGCTGTCCCGGGTGAATACTAAGCGAACGGAGGACAAACACCCTCTCGAGGGTCTGGCCTAGAAGACTTCTCTCTAGAACTTTCTCCACGCCTATTACACTGAGACCAGTGCCCTCGCTATTCGGGGCAGTCCTTCGGCTCTGCACCCGCCTCTTAACAGGCTTCTTCCAGAACAGCTCCCATCCCATTCACACCCTCTGCCAGCACTGAAGGCCCCTAGACTGGGGAGGGGGCACCACCGTCCTCCGCCTGGCTGTTACCTCTGCGTCCTGCTCCTCGGCGGCGAGGCCCATGAAGTTGCAGTCTGGAGATGCTGCGGGCGTCACCTGCAGAAGAGCAGCAAAAATCAAGGTGCAGATACCACCAGCTCACCTCCCCAGCTTGCCTGGCAGCAAACCCAAACCAAGTCCTCAGGACAGAAGTGGTGCCAAACCAAAGATCAGATACGAGGGCATCTTTGACTTAAGGACGCGGTACCCTGTTTTCTGAGGCTCCCTTCCCGAGCACCGGGGGGGCTTTGTGATCTCCCTGGCAGACCCTGGATTGAGCTGCTTGGGATGAGCCTGCAGAACCAGAGAGGCGAGAGCCATCCCTTACCCCCCGCTTACCTCTTCTTCATCTGAGGGGGTCCTGCTGGCAGTCCGGGGGGAGGGGAGGGCCTCCCCCTCCTCTTCCGTGCCAGGGGCGATGTAGGAGCCGGACATGGAGGAGACGGTGTTGGTGCTGATCTGGGAGTGCTGGCTCTGGGACGACACCATGGACATGACCGACTGGGCCAGGCTGCTGCTGGCAGGGTCTTTGGAGACAGGAGTTGGGGGAAGGAGATGGAGATCAGGCACGGCTGCTGTGAGTTCCCTGGGAGCAGGGTTCTCTCCCCACACCCGGGGGCCGTGAGGACCATGGCAGCCTGGCCTTGCCCTCACCAAATAGGGTTTAGATGTAAGGTTTGCCAACTCCTTTATGCTTTATTTAAGTTTAATTTTTTTTCTTTTTGGCCATGCTGTGGGCCATGCAGGATCCTGGGTCCCCGACCAGGGATCAAACCTGAGCCCCTGGCATTGGAAGCTCGGAGTCTGAATCACTGGACCCCAGGGAAATACCTTTCCTTTACGTTTTAGAGCTCCGAACTCAACCTCAGGGGTGAGGGATTTGCTTTTGCCTGTTACGATGTTAAAAGAAATCTTACAACAGTAGGACTGGGACCAAGATACCTGCCTTCCCCCTAGCTGGGTGGCAAGACCACCCTCTCGTTGCAAGACACCGAGTCCCACTTCCCTCTCAAGTTGGGCCCTACTTGGTGTGGCCGCTGAGGTATCACTTGGCTGCTTCCCCAGTCCATCCCAGAGGAAATACTAGAAGCGTCACGGACTCCCGCCCTCCTCAGGTACCTTCTGGGGAGGAAATCGTGGAGGAGAGCGGGGTTCCCGTGCAGGACGACTGGTCAATAGCTCCTGACGATGACAGGGTCAGGTTCTCACTTTCTGGGGTGACACCACATTCCTGGGGAGAGGCAGAGTCGGAGGGAAGGGGTCAGGGCAGGGGGCCCGGGCCAGGGATGGCGGGGGCTGACGTGCGAAGCAGGGCCGGCTTCTCCTCTGTCCTCACTTCTATGCAGCCCTGACCCGGGGTGGCTGGCTGTCTCCCCGGGGAGGTGCGAGCGCCTCCTGCCCGAGGCCCAGCATCTGCTGGAGCCACACAAAGGCGGCAGCTCAGATGACCCAGGTCAGCTAGCAGCTGTGACACGGGGCACCCCAGGCTTCCCCAGGATTACAAACAGCTCTCCTTCTGAAGGGGAAGAACACAAAACCAGTCAAGGCCCCGGAGCCCCCCTGGGCTTCTCCTATGGGATGGGGGGGTTGGTTCCAGCTCGATGGATCTAACATAAACACCATCTCCCTCCCCAGCCCGCACCGGTCCCCCACCCCCACCCCGCCATCCGTCACCTGGGCTCGTAACCTCAGTCCACCCCGGACAGATGCAAAGGTCTGCTGGTTCTCCCTCCATATCCCATTCTCTCTCCTCCAGGCATTCTTTTCTTAAAACTGTAGTCCAGGCGTTCCCCCTGCCTAGCTCTGTCTGTCTCCTGCCTGATCCTGTCTGCACACCTCTGCCAGGGGGTCCCTGGTCAAGCCAAGTTCCCGCTTACCACTGGCATGCTCAGGGCCCCCACTTCTGCTCTGTGCTTCACATGTACTGTCCCTACGACCAGGAATGTTTCTCTCGCCTTCCTCTTCAATGTCTGAGAAGTTCTGCCCCCTGCAGTAGAGGCACAGAGTCTTAACCACTTGACAGCCCGGGAATTCTCCATGGATCACTTTTTTTGTGTGACCCATTTTAAAAGTCTTTATTGAATTTGTTACAATATTGTTTCTGTTTTATGTTTTGGGCCACGAGGCAGGTGGAATCTTAGTTCCCTGACCAGGGATCGAACCTGCGCCCTGCATTGGAAGGCGAAGTCGTAACCACTGGACCTCCAGGGAGGTCCCGCCATGGGCCACTTTTTAAAGTGAGCATCCCCGCTCCTAGCCTCGACCCTCTCTTACCTGATACACTGATCCACGGTACCACCTATATACTTTGACTGTCTTTGACGGTCCTGCATGTCCACCCCACCCCAACTGCCAAGCCTATAATAAGCACCACGAGGGCAGGACTTCAGTGTCTCCCCATTGTTGCTATTCTTAGCACAGAGGATCACACCTGGTCAGATACACAGGCTCCATTCTTTGTTGAAAGAATGAGTCTAGTGACACCTTTGCTGTGACTCAGAGAGTGTTCAGAAGGTGTGATGAGTGAATGGGAGCAGATGGACCGGAAGAGGCCGGCAGGCAGGAAGGAAAGGACCCAGAGTCCAAAACCCAACAAGGATGGAGCATATATTACCTCTCCGAGATGCTGGCCTGACGGTCTCTGAGACAGCTGTGTCTCAGATTCACTGCAGGAACGCTCATCGTCCTCTTCGGGCAGCACAGAAGAATTCTGAGAGACGGACCTGCATGAGGCCGTAGGGAGAAACAGTTGCAGCCAATGCCCACTTAAAGACTGGAACTTGCCCACACTCCCATCAACTAGATGTCTGAGGGAGCAGAGGACCATGGGGGGAACTGCATGGAACTCACCTCTTAGGAAGGAGTGGAGACATGGGAAAGGGTACCGAGGGGTCTGAGACCTCTTCTGGGTGTCAGAAAAATCTGAGTTTTCCCTTTTGCTCTTTCAAATAGTTGTGTCTGAACTTCGGGAAAACCACTGACATTTTTAGGGTTGCAGTATTTGTATCTGTAAAATACCCTCCTTTCTTCTGCCAGGGAAACTGATATGATGACTTGCGCCTGTGCATGCACGCTCTGTCGTGCCTGACTCTTTGCCACCCCGTGGGCTGTAGCCCGCCGGGCTCCTCTGTCCCTGGAATTTTCCAGGCAAGAATATTGGAGTGGGTTGCCATTTCCTCCTCCAGGGGATCTTCCCCACTCAGGGATTGAACCCCACGTCTCCTGCATTGCAGGCCTATTCTTTACCACCATGCCACCCGGGAAGCTCCATGACTTGTGCCAAGGTGGATGTAAATACTTAAGAAATACAGATCACAAGCTTCCTTCAGTCCTCAGACTAAGGGACGCTCCCCAGGGATGCTCCCCTAGATGACCGTAACAGTGTCATCTTCCCTGTCCCTTATACCCTCCTCCCAAAACAGAACACCTTAAGTTTTATCCGTCTGGATCCTCCTAAGGACCCATGTACCATCTTATTTTCCTCTCCTAAGGGATGGGATAACTCCCCCTCGGGTGTCGTTAGCCCAGGTCTCCAGTGAAATGAGCAGCTCTGGCAACAGCCCAGAGGGTCTACGCCGCCCCTGGGACCCAGGTCTGGAGCGAGCACGGAGGAGTGGAAGGATGGACCGAAAGCATCTCGTCAGGGACCCCAGGGCCAACGCTGTCGCTAGCCGCCTACTCACTTGGAGAGACTCTTTTTGAGCTTGAGTCCTTGGCTGCCGCAGTCGGAGAGGCGGTCGAGGGGGGAGAAGGTGCGGATGGGAGGCAGGTGGCCGTCGCTGCCATAGGAAGGCAGCATTCCTGAGAGGTGTCGGTCTCCAAGCACGTGGAGCGGGGGGACCGCTGGGGACGGGGTGAGGGGCCCATTGAGGGCCTCCAGGAGAGACACCACCTCATAACCTGGCGGGATGTTCTCTGAGGACTGGGGGCATCAGAGACAGGTTGAAAAACTAATTAGACAACTTTTCATTTTATGGTATGAGTGTGTTTCTTCCTCTGTGGTGGAAAAATGCATCCTTTTATATCTAGTCTGGGGGTTCTGCCAAGAAAAGCTTCTGTATTAGAGGCAGAAGAAAGAGAAAATATCAGAGAACCACATACGCCGAGACTCTACTTATACATGAGCTTCTTCTTAATAATGTTTAATTTTTGATTATAATAGATATATGTGTTCTTTACAGGAAATTTGGAAAACACCTAAAAATGGAAAGAAAAAAGTCAACAACTGAGTCACCCAAATTGATAACTTTCGCTAGCATTCTAGTGTATTTTCTTCCAATTTTTTTCCCTCTGTATTGTTTACACAGTTGTGATCAATCTGTAAATAATAATTTTATACCCAGCTTATTTCACAGAACATAATATTTTCCTTCACATGTGTCCCTTTTCATAGATACCATACCTTTCCTAATTCTTCCACTAGTGCTGGCTAGTTAATTGCATCCATTTCCTGCTGTAAGCAGAACTTTGATGAACATCTGTTCATTTATTATGCACACATCTCTTTTTTTCAGATCATTTTCTGGGTATTAAATTCTAAGATCTTAGATTACCAAGTCCAAAGGTTCTTTTTTTTTTCAATTATTAATTTTATTAAATCTTCACCCTATCATACACCTCTTTTTTTTCTTTTTACAAAGCCATTTTAAAGTTTCATTTTATTATTATTATTATTATTTTTTTTTTTTTTGACTTGTTGCATAGCAGGCAGGTCTTAGTTCCACAACCAGGGATCAAACCAGTGGTCCCTGCATTGGAAGTACGGAGTCCTAACAACTGGACCACCAGGGAAATCCCCAAGTACCAATGTTTTTTAAGGCTCTTGATATATACAGCTGTTTGTTTTTTATAGTGAACTTTCTAGGTATACTCTTATAAGCAGAACAGAATACCTATTTTAATTGCTTTCTGGACAGCATGGGTTATCTTTAAAAAAGGAAGTTTCTAAATTTGAAAAGTGAAAAATGGTCTCTCATTTTAACTTGCATGTTGTTGATTTTTAATGTGGTTGACTTTTAAAATTTTAATGTGTTTGATCATTAACCAGCTATGTTTCCTGTTTTGAGAAATTTTTTATATATATCTTTGCCCATTTATCTATTATTTCATTCAGGTGAGTTATTCTAGAGATCCCAGCCTTTCCTCTGACTACATTTTGTTGTGCCTACATTTTTTTCTTTATAGGATTTATTGCTTGCCTTTTAATTTGGGTCATCTTTTACATATCTAAAGTTTAAAGTTTTTTTATGTGATAAAATCTACATGTTCTTGTTTTGGGTTGTTTTCAAGCTTAGAGAACCCACTTAGAGAACCCCCATCCATAGTCAACTGAAGAATCATCTGTAAAGTATTCTAGGTTTTTAAGGTTTGGTTTGCTTTGTCTTTAGGGTAGTTAACTAGTTACTCCACCTGGAATTCATTATCTGATAAGGAGTGAAGTGCTAAACTAACTGATTTTTCTTCCCTAAATAGCTACCTAATCATTCCAGTACCACTTACTGAATAATTAATAATTAATCTCTTCCACTCACATGTTAACCTAAAGACGAGACCTTCTAGTCTATAACTACAAAGCTTGGAAGCTTTGCACCATCACTTACATTACGAGACCAAGGTGAATTACTTCATCTACTTGGCTCCTAGTATCTGAGGCCATGAAACCAGATAAAGAAAAATAGTCACCTGCTCTGAGGATTCAGATAAAAATAGTAAGTTGAATCTAAACCTCAAACAATCATCCTCTTGTTTCTGCCTGGGGACCTTCCAGAACTGACCCCACCTCTGCAGTGAAACAGCAAGCCTCTGGCGCTAGAGATGGTAAATATTAACTGGATACTGAGTTCTCAAGGCGGAAAGGGGAGGTTTTAATGATCAGAACCTCTTTTTCCACTGTCCTATCGGGGGGTTCTAACACAATGTGATCTCTGCCAGCTTACTCAGTTCTTCAGAGTGCCAAGATTCAATTACTTGCTGCCAAGCCACGTGAAGTAGGACAGAAGGTGAAAAAAAAAAATGCCCAACTTACGGAATGCTCTTCTGAGTCGGAGGTCTGGGATGAGAGGATAGGGTTGAAGCTGGTTGGGGTCAGGGGGCCCAGTTTTTTCCTCATGGCTCGGATTTGGAGCAGTGCCCGGAAGGCTGCGAAGAAGGAAACAGGTCATCAGGACTTGGGGGAGTCAGGGGGGACTAGAGCCTCCACGGAAGCTGCCCCGGCGGGGGTGGGGAGTGACCTGGGGGACCCGGCGGGGCTCCGGGGGCTTACGCAGTCGGCAGATGGGGCAGTTGTTGGCCTGGTAGCGCAGGGTGTCGGCGCAGCTGTTACATAAGCAGAGGTGTCGACAGGGCAGGATCAGGGTGTCCCGCACGTCGGAGAGGCACACCACACACTCAGCGCTGTTGTCGCTCACCTCGTCCTCAGCCACCTGGCCGGGGGGAAGGTTAGCCAGTGTCACAGAGACCCTCATGACCCATGCTTTATTTTAGTATTCATCCGTTCATTTTATGTGGATCAGTTTTAAAGTCTGCATTGAACTTGTTACAATAGTGCCTGCTTTATTTATTTATTCTTTTTTATGTTTTGGTTTTTTCACTGCAAGGCATGTGGGATCTTAGCCCCCTGACCAGGGATTGAACCTGCAACCCCTGTGTTGGAAGGCGAAGTCTCAACCGCCGGACCCCTCCACCAGGGAAATCCCCCATACTCTCTAGAAGGCAGCTTGCCTGCAGAGATGAGACAATATGAGCAGAGTCTTGCACCTGCATTGAACTTGATGGTTTACCAAGTGCCTGTGCACACCCAGTTTCACCTCTGGCAACTGTTCATGCCAAGCTCCTCCTCTGGGGCTGAGATCCCGTCCTGGCCGTCAGCCAGAGCTGATGGAGCCCAGGAGGCCAGGCAGGGAAGGAGGGGAGAGACGAACTGAGGGACCAAGGAACAGGGTGAGCAGAGCCCCGCAGAAGAACCCATCTAAACCAGCCCTTTTTTTCATTTCCAAATTTAAATATAATTATAATCATCTGAAATGAGGAAGAAGAAATACCCTTCTAGGACCAGACAAATTTCAGAGTTTGGTGTGCTAAATTCCTAGATCCTGGCTGGGTCAGAGACGGTCTCACCCTGCCTTCTGGGAAGAGGACATTCAGAACTGTGGAAGGGGGACTTCCCTGGTGGTCCAGTAGTTAAGCCTGCGCTTCCACTGCAGTGGGTCGGGGTTTGATCCCCGATAGGGGAACTAAGAGCCCACATCCTGCAGGGAAAGGCCAAAAAAAAAAAACAAACCATGGACGGAACTTGCCTTAGATTCTTGCGTGTTGTACTTGTTTTCAATCCCATAGATCTCCTGAAGGAGGTAGCTGACCCCATCCACCTGAAGAACAAATGGAAAAGTGCAAGGGCAGGCTGGTTCTAATGAAAGATAAAAGTGGAAACTTACACATCTCCACCGTGAACCTCCTTTGGTAACCAAGGACTACAGATTCACAATGGAAACAATCGAAGGCCTAGACAAGTACAGGATGCCCTTATTTACTTACATGTTCTCTTTGGGAGGGAAAAGAAAATCTGATGCTAATTCACCCACTCTTTTGTCCAACAGGGAACATGAACATTCATAAATACAACAGTAATCCTTGTACTGTAGGTCACTATGACAGAGCCTAGAGACTAGGAAAAGGGTGGAAGACCACAGGTCAAAATAGACGCGTTAGCTAGCTATGGAATGGAACCTTACACAAATGAAGGAATGGAAATAAGAAAGAAAGAGAAGAAATGGGCAAGGAAAAGGGGGGAAGGGAAAATGCAGAAGCTGAGAGAGAGCAGGCTCTGGAAGGAGGGGCCGATTGCACCCCTCCCCCACTACTAAGCCACCCCCATTGCCGACAGGTGGGCAAAATTACCCGTTAGTCCTTTGAAGAGTCGACTCATTGGAAAAGCCCCTGATGCTGGGAAAGATTGAGGGTAGGAGGAAAAGGGCATGACAGAGGATGAGACGGTTGAATGGCATCACTGACTCAATGGACATGAGTTTGAGCAAACTCCGGGAGGCGGTGAAAGATAGGGAAGCCTGGTGTGCTGCAGTCCATGGGGTCGCAAAGAGTCGGATACGAACTTAGCAACTGAACAAATCCTGCCTCTTGGCTTTCCTAGTAGTCCAGTAGTTAGGACTCATCGCTCTCACTTCTGGGGCCCAGGTTCAATCCCTGGTCAGGGAACTAAGATCTTGAATGCTGTGTGGCCAAAAATTAAAACCCCAACTTCAAGGCCCAGTTCAACTCCCACAGCCTGAGCCACGTCTGCCAAAGCTGGCCCCTCCCTGTTTCCTCATGCCAGCTCATTCCTCATCCCTCTACCCCCAGAGATCCCCTCCCCCGAGGCCCAGTCCATTATCGATTGCACATTCTGGTCTCCAGTTAGACAAGGCCTGTTGCTGATGCCAATCTAGCAACAGAAGAAGAGATAAACCAACCCCCTTGCGGTACCCGAGCCTTCCCACCCCACACAGGTGTCCTGGAAAGGCCTCCCCATGAGGCAACTCACTGAGGCCCGGCCTTTCCAGGCAGCAGCCCCCGGGGTCAGGCTCTGTCATCTCCCCTGCCTCTCTTAAAACTTGCTTTAATGTAGTGATGATACTGGAAAGGACATTATCAACAAATTCATAAGGTATGACTGACTACTATTGACCTCATTAAGAGAGAGTGCTTAGTACCTGAAAGAATGAAGAATTAGAATTTCATGAACCTACAGCCTGTTTACACAGTGAAGTAAGGCAGAAAGAGAAAACAAATTTTTAACTCATATATATGGAACCTAGAAAGGTGACACCGATGAACCTATTTGTAGGAAAGGAATGGAAATGCAGATAGAGAGAATGGACTTGTGGACCCAGGAGGGGAAGGGAAGAGTGCATTAATGGAGAAAGTAACATCAACATATATACACTATCATGTGTCAAACAGAGAGCTGGTGACAAGCTGCTGTCTAACACAGGGAGCCCAGTCTGGTGATCTGTGATGACCAAGAAGGGTGGGATGGGGGCAGGGGAGGGAGGCTCTACAGGGAGGGAATACATGTATCATTATGGCTGATCTGCATTGTTTTATGGCAGAAACCAACACAATACTGTAAAGCGATTTTCCTCCAGTTAAAAACATTTTTTAAAAAATGAAAAAAAAAAAAAGAATTTCAGATATTTGCCGGCCCTCGTGGGAGAGCGAGGCTTTCTTCACATCTCAACCAAGGCCCACCGTGCCCCACGCTTGACCACCCCTCACCCTCCACGTGATGAGCCACCCTCGCTTGGAAATGCCACCGACTCCACTCTCCCCTCCCGTCCTCCGCGGCTCTGCCCCGGCCTCAGGGGTCAGGACTTCCAGCAGATACTTGCATAACTTGCCCACCATCCTGGAAGGGGGCAGATGGCCAGCAGATTTTGAATTTGAGAAAAGCAATGTTGGGATACGTTAAGCCAAGAGCTCTAATTGGCCCTGAATCAGACCCTGATAGTTTATTCTTGTAGCTGTAAATGTTAGTTTCTCAGCCTGGCATTTGCAATAAAAAGAGTTCTCCCTAAACCTAATGTCAGGAGACAAATCTCAGTCCTTTCATTTTCTGAAGTCCTTTGCTCAGCTACTGGCTGCCTCACCACCACCAATTCTGGAACAACAGACAGCCCAAATCGGTATTCCTTTCAGGCCACCCAAGTCGTTTCTAACACAGAAAAGCATCCCTTTTTGCTTTTCTTCTTTGATTAAAAAAAAAAAAAGGCAGGGAGGGGGGAAGAAGAGTGCTTAGCTAAACAGTGGGGGGAGAGAGAGTGAGTGAAGGGGAAACACCAACAGTCCCTGGCCCTTGAATACTCACCACTTGTTTCTGTTTGAGGGGCTTGACACAGAAAGTGCCATCTGAGTGCTGCAGCGAAAACACGGAAAGACGACAGTTATGACGAGGAGGGCGGGAGATGAGGACCAGCTGCTCTCCCTTCACTTCTCTCAGTTAGGTATGTTCTTGGACCCCCCACCCCCGCCCCGGACAGTGGAATGACAGATTCCTCATTCTGGAAGGGTCCTCAAGCATGTAGTCTAGCCCTTCCAATTTAAGAAGACAAAACGAGGCCTGAGGAGTCTCGGGGCATCAGCAAGCTTCTGGCCAAGCTGGAACTCGGCCCTGTGTGTGCAGGGGGTGCTCCCCCCGGCTTCCCGCAGCCTCCCAGCCAGACCCGCTCTGCCGAGCCCAGGCAGCCAGAGAAGGGGCCTCCACGCGTCCTCGGAGGAGAGACAGAGCAGTGCGTACCAAAGCAAGGCCCGTAATGTCAGCCACTGACCTTTTCAAAAGTGCCCAGCAGGACGTGGCAATGGCCAAAATACTCTGAAAGAAAGAAAGGCACACGATGGGGAAGAAGAAAGCTAATGATACAGCTTGACCCCAGCCACCCTCCCCGAGCCCCTGCGACCCTCTGGCTTCACAGGGAGGGGGAGGTTAAGTCACCCAGGAGGACTGTCGGTGCCCGAGGAGGCTGGGGGCAGGAGGGTGCCGGGATGTGGAAACTGGTGCCCATGGAGGAGCCTTGTGGATCTGAGGCCGCAGTCGCTGCCAGCCTGCCTGCCACAAACGGGCCTGCGTGCAGCCCAGAAGACAGGAAGCACCCGTACCATCGCCTTCATCCACCACGGCGTGGACCACCAACGGGTAAACCTCCCTGTCTAGGTCGAAGCCAAGCTGAAGGGAAAGAAAAGAAAAACGGGAGTGAGGAGGGGGATTTACATTCAGAGGACGAAGTTATCCATCAGAAAGGGAGGCCTTAACTTCATCTCAGCTCCTCACCCATCAACCTGGTAGCTACCCGGTGGTTTAGTCTCTAAGTCGCGTCTGACTCTTGCAACAGCACGGACTTTAGCCCACCAGGCTCCTCTGTCCCTGGGATTTTCCAGGCAGGCATCCTGGAGTGGGTTGCCATTTCCAACTACCTGCATCCATTGAGTTGAAGGCTACCGGTCTCTCTGTAAGAAACCTCATAGATGTAAAGGCTTCTAATCTGTAGGTCTTTCCTTTGGGCACAGCTTTCCTAAAATATCCTAGGTTAATTAAGGGGCTGCTCTGGGATAGAAAATTAGATATGTCCTTCCCAGGGCATGAAGGCATTAGAAGGCTGAAGGGGAGCATGCCTTTGAGCACCTGGGCTGGTTCTGTGCTGCCGGCCGGGGTCCCAAGGAGCTCCCACACCCTGCAGGTCTGTGCGTGGAACCTGCCCTGCACTTTCTCCCGGTGGCTGGTCTGCTCCGCCAGCTGGCTGCTCACCTCCTCTTCCGCCCACTCGGAGGGGTCCACGGTGTGTGAGGGCAGGCAGAACTGTTGGCACACCCCGCGCTTATAGTGCACCGTCTCCGACTGCAGGCTGTTGTCTTTGGGGATGTAGCTGTTGGTCAAAGTGGGAAGCAAAACACAAGTTACTGTCTCGCCCAGAGGATCTGATGGTTTCCTCTGTTCCGTGTCTGTTGTCAATTATCAACAGGCTCTCAGTATAGAGGGGAACAGAAAAAAAAGAAAAAAGACCTCCTTATAATCTCTTTTCTTTGCCCTTGCTTGGTGATGCTATTGAAGTTATCTATTTAGGTACTTCTCTATGAGGGCTTCCCAGGCGGCACTAGTGGTAAAGAATCTGCCTGCCAATGCAGGAGACGCAAGAGACTTGGGTTTGATCCCAGGGTTTGATCTCCAGGTTGGGAAGATCCCCTGGAGGAGGAAATGGCAACCCACTCCAGCATTCTTGCCTGGAGAATCCCGTGGACAGAGGAGCCTGGCGGGCTACAGTCCATGGGGCCGCAAAGAGTTGGACATGACTGAGTGAGCGTTGGTGGTTCAGTGATTAAGAATCCACCTTCCAATGCAGGGGACGCAGGTTTGATCCCTGGTCAGGGAATGAAGATCTCACCTGCTTTGGGACAACTAAGTCTCCTGCTGCAATGAAAAGATCCTGTATGCTGCGGTGGAGATCCTGCCACAGCTAAGGCCTAACACAGCCAAAAATAAATAAGTAAATATTTTTTAAAAGGTATCTATTCAACCCACATATCCACAGAAATGAAGCTTGAAACATTTTTAAAATATTTATTTATTTGGCTGTGCTAGGTCTTAGTTGGGGCATGCAAGATCTAGGTTCCCTGCCCAAGGATTGAACCCCGGACCCCCTGCATTGGGAACGTGGAGTCTTAGCCACTGGACCAGCAAGTCGTCCCAGCTTAATCAGTTTCTAACAGCATTGTGATGACCTGAAGGACTATATGCTGCTACCTGTCACTGTACCAAGATGGCATAGTTTGAAGGGAAAAAGTGAAAAAGACTGTATAAGTAAGAAAATCCAAATTCAGGAACAGTTCTCACTTGAGTGTAGAAAAAGAACGTTTTCCTCCGCAGGGGAGCGCGTCAGGCACGGACCCTGGCCTGTGTGGGAAGGACGCGGCTCCCGTGGCCGCTTGTTCTTACCTGGCGATGCCATTCTGGAACTCTTCGGTGGCCTGGTAATAGATGGTGATGGCCACCCGTGCGTCCGTGTCAAAGGTGAACTCCACGTTGTAGTGGACCTTCGCTCTGCCTGCCTCTTCCCCCGGGGTCTTCACTTCCTCGGCACATCTAGGAAACCACAGAGACGCGGCATTCGGGGGTAGCCAATTAACATGTTTAAAGTGATCTTTTTCCTTCTCTTTTTCTTTTGGTGGGATCCTGGCTCCCTGATCAGAGATTGAATCCATGGTCCCTGCAGTGGAAGCAAGGAGTCCTAACCACTGAATCGCCAGGGAATTCCCTTCTTTTCCTATTTTATAAAAATTTATTTATTTATTTTAATGGCTGTGCTGGATCTTAGTTGCAGCATGCAGACTGGCATGTGGGATCTAGTTCCCTGACTGGGGATCGAACTCAGGGCCCCTGCGTTGGATGCCTGAGTCTTACGCACTGGAACGCCAGGGAAGTCACTTCTCTTCTTTTTTAACTGAACAGAATGTGGGCTTCCCTCTGTGATCACACACTTAGGGCTCCACCCTCATTCTGAATGACGGCAGAGCACCCTGTTACTGCTATGGGGGGAATTTAGGCAATTTCTGATACTTCATGGTGCCACAGTTCACATCCTTGTGCGTCTGCCAGACTTTTTTTAAAAAAATAGCTTTTACTTTAATCAAAGTTACTCATGCCATCGTTTAAATAGTTTCCACAAGGCTTGTGACAAAAACGCAGCGGGTCACTTTCTGCCCGTTTTCTGCTTCTTCAGAGAAAACCGACTTTCCCTCTGCAGCTGACAGTTTCTGGCATTTACCTGCATGCTTTGAAATAACAGGTTCAGGTTGCTTTTTCAGCTTTAGGCGCTGTCTACTGACTTGGCCTCCCTTGTGGCTAGTAAAGAATGCACCTGCAGTGTGGGAGACCTGGGTTTAGTCCCTGGGTTGGGAACATCCCCTGGAGAAGGGAAAGGCTACCCACTCCAGTATTCTGGTCTGGAGAATTCCACTGACTGTGTAGCCCATGGGGCCGCAAAGAGTCAGACACGACTGAGTGACCTTCACTCATTCACTCACTCACCAGTATTCTGGGATGCCCTGCTGGCTCAGATGGTGAAGCGTCTGCTTATAATGTGGGAGACCCGGGTTCGACCCCTGGGTCGGGAAGATCCCCTGGAGAAGGAAGTGGCAACCCACTCCAGTATTCTTGCCTGGAGAATTCCATGGACGGAGGAGCGTGGTAGGCTACAGTCCCTGGGGTCGCAAAGAGTTGGATATGACTGAGCGACTTCACTTTCACTTATTGACTTTCTACTATGGGAACAAGGCTTTCTTTTTAAAAGGTTTTTTAAAAATTATTCTTTAAAAAAAAAATTATTCTTTATTTATGTCGGTGCTGCGTGCGGGCTTTTCCAGGTGTGGTGACCTCTCTGGTCGCAGAGCCCAGGCTCTGGAGCGTGGGCTCGGGAGCTGTGGCACATTGCCCTGTGGCCGGTGGGGTCTTCCTGGACCAGGGACTGAACCTGTGTCCCGTGTTGACTGGCAGATTCTTAGTCCTGAGCCACCAGGGAAGTCCCAAGACGTTCTTTCCCTTCCTTCCTTCTGCTCCACACAGTGGTGTTCCCTCCTGCGTGTAACTCATCATGATTTTGTTAGCTCAGTACATCTTCCTCTATCCAAATGAGTCTATCAGCATTATTCACAGCTCAGCCACAGAGTAATCTCTAATCATTTTCCTTTTCCTGCACAAGCTTTTATCAGAGTTTGTGCTCTTTTTTTTCCTCCCCCAGCTGCTTAGTTCTCTATGCATTAACCACTATTTCGAACCCAAACTCTTGGTAGACAGATTTGCTATCTGGAGGGCAGCATCGGTTTAAAAATCATACTATCTCTAGGACTTCCCTGGTGGTACAGCAGTTAAGACTCTGAGCTTCCACTGCAGGGGGTGTAAGTTCAATCCCTGGTTGGGGAACTAAGATCCCACAAGCCACATAGTGCAGACACACACACACACACACACACACACACACACACTATCTCAGAGACAGCACAAAGAAGTCAGATGCTGATGATAACTAATACTGATGATGGTGATTAAATAGCAAACTCAGGGTGCCAGAGGAAAGGCACATGAGATTAAGAATAAACTAAAAAGTCTAGGTGATGGAGCGTGTTCTGAGGACGGACTGAGACCGAAAAAAAAATTTTTTTTGAAAAAAAAAGAAAAAGAATAAACTAAAAAGTAAATATAAGCAGGAAAGTAAGCACTTCCTGTGCCAAGTTCAAATATCCCATTTTCACATAGGTTTGTATGGTATCTGCAAAATTCACTTTCTCCCTCAACAATTCTTTGTTTTGGACAGTTCATCAGGTTGGGATAACCACGATGGCTTTCAGAAAAGAGAAGGTTCCTCACCAACACTAACTGTCTCAGAAAGTTCTGAACAATCCAGTTGCAGAGACATCTCATGCAAGCAGCCCACAGACTGGAGGCCTGGAGGCTGGGCTCTGGGTCTGGCAGAAACAGTTCTGTGGGTCCCCTGGGGAGTCGGCTGACCCCCAGCTGGGAACCTGAACTTACTTGACGAGTCTCAGGGTGTCCTTTCGGATGTTGATCAGGCTTCTCAGAGTCTTCACTGGTTCTTGGGGAGGGGGGGCTGCATAAGGAAACTGTCGGAAACAAAGTGGGAAAAGACAGTGTGTTTAGAAAGACCCATCACCATAGTAAGTGAACCTGCTCAAGGTCACAGCTGCTGGGAGGGCAGGGTGGGAGCGTTCAGCATCCAAAATGCTACAGTTATCTGCCTTTCCCATTAGATGAAGCTTATGTGAGTCAGCATTCAAAATGTGGACAACTAATAAAAGCTCCCACTGCAGTTCCAAATACCATGCGACACACGGTGGCCAAGTTAATCACAAAAGGCTTTTCCGCCTGACCTTACACCACGGGGAGCCGGACCTGCAAGGATTTTCCTTCGGCGAAGCTGCATGGTGTCTGAAGAGTTTAGGAACTGCAAACACAAGAGAACCCCAACGTGTGTACAGTGAAGGCCCGCAAACAGTGAAAAACAAATTTCCTCCGCAGCTGATCATATAAAGCAAAGGGTTTTTAGAAAACAAACAAACAAAAAAAAACCATGAGCCAAGAGCTCTTCTAGGGTCATCAAAGGTTTTCGATTGTCCATCGTTTACTTTACACTCTCACTCTCTCTCCCTGTTTAGACATCTGGGTTTGGAGTTGTGAGGTGATGACAATGAGGAAATAAGAAAGGGGGGCACAGTAAAATATTTAATTGGGAATTGCTTGAAGAAGATTAATCAGGGTGATCTACAATGCTCCTGGTATTCTTATAATGTCACTTGGGCAGTAGACATTTTTCACATGCGGTTCCCTGAAAACCTACTAGCGTTTGAAGCTTTGTAAAAACGTGGTCCTCCTAGCTCTGAAGAGTCTGCTCTCTTGTGCTGCTTTTATAAAACAGAACATCCACACGAAACTCTGTGCTTTCATGGACTTTTGCTGACTATAACTGTTTTACTTGGGAAACATCATTGAACCTATGGTATTATACATCTGATTTTGTATTCAGTGTGATCGCTGATACTTCATGTGTATGAATGTGACCCTTACGAGAATACACTGGGGGACTTCCCTGGTGGTCTGGGCCTCCCTGGAGGCTCAGATGGTAAAGAATCTGCCTACAATCCAGGAGACCTTGGTTCGATCCCTGGGTCAGGAAGATCTCCTGGAGAAGGGAATTGCTATCCACTCCAGTATTCTTGCCTGAAGAATCCCTTGGACAGAGGAGCCTGGCAGGCCCCAGTCCATGGGGTTGCAAAGAGTTGCACATGACTGAGCACCTAACACTTTCTGGTGGTCTAGTGGCTAAGACTCCATGCTCCCAATGCAGGGGTTCCGGGTTCGATCCCTGATCAGGGAACTAGATCCCACAAGCCACAACTAAAGATCCAGCACGCCACAATGAAGACGGGGCCAACTTTAATCAATTCCATGTTATTCAGTGTTTTCAGTTGGGGTTTTACTTTTTTTTTTCCTGATATAAATGTCACGGTGAATGCCTTGTCCCTACATTTCTGCATGCCTGCTTGATTATTTCCTTAGGACAAATTCCTAGAAATGGAATTACTGGATCAAAGAGTAAGCATATTTTTAAGACTCTTAAAACTATGTTGCCAAACTGTTCTCCAGAAAGCTAATTTCAACCTTGCTCTCCTGCATGCAGCGTATCAGGAGGCTTTTATACAGGAAAGCTGAAATCCTGGTTCAGACCCCATCTGTGGCCTGTTTCTCCACCCCACCCCCGACCATTCTGCTGGGCTGTCACACTAAAGGAATTTAAAACAATTTTTAAATAAGCTTAAGCAAAAAGTAATTAGGCAGGAAATCCCGACACAAATGCTTGTCTATTCTAAAGCCAAAATAAATGACTTTGGGATTAAAATTTTTTTCTGGAGTAGCGAAGTTAATCATATTTATTTGCACGGGTACTTGAGAGCTATCCATAACTCCTACCTGAGTTCAAAAAAAACCCCCCAAAATTAGAGGTTCTCCCTTCACCCTTTGCCCCTTTCTCCACATCCTTCCCCCAAAGAAAAACAAAAGAAAAGGGTGGGGGGAAAGCTAGTGTTCCTCATCTCCCACTTAGAATATTACATTTGATGATAACTGGCAATGGAACACAAATTATTCAGAGCTCAAGGAAAGACATCCCTGGGATCAATTGTTTATATATACAAACTATCCTTTGTAGTGGGCTTCCCTGGTAGCTCAGTGGTAAAGAACCTGTTTGCCGATGCAGGAGACTCAGGTTCAATCCCTGAGTGGGGAAGATTCCCTAGAGAAGGGAATGGCTATCCACTCCAACATTCTTGTCTGAAGAATCCCATGGACAGAGGAGCCTGGCAGGCTACAGTCCATGGGGTCGCAAGGAGTTGGACATGACTGAGTGACTAAGCGCACACGCATACAGCCTTTATAGTATAATAAATCCATGCTTACATTTTAGCTCTTTACCTCTCTTCCCCCACCACAGAAGAAAACCACTGAAAATCTCTTTAGGAGAAACTAACCCGGTTTGCAGGCTCCTACCTACCAAAGCTTCTGCCTTAGCAGCCTTTCAGTAACCCAGAGTCTTATCCACAACCCTCAGTGCGGCGTGTAAAGAGACTTCAAGTGGAAAAGACGACGTCCTGCTCTTTCAGGGAGCAGCATTATAAGGAAGATGATATTGCTACACAAATAATGGTAACATTGAGCAGAGAAAAGCTAAACAAAAGGGCAACTATAAAGGAAGTGATTGTTTCTGGCTGAGGTAATCTGGAAGGCGTCATGGAGGACGTGGTATAGCACTCAGCCAGAGGAACTCTTTCAATGCGTTCCCAGGGGTTGCTGATCAAGGCTCTGTGTGAATACAAAGCAAGTTCCTCGCTGGCATTTTATCCTGGTGTTCATCAGTTTCCCCGTACACTTTTCTTACACCAGCCAGGCGCCACCTGGTGACCGAATGTGGAATTGCCAGTTTACAGAGACCTGCTATGGATATGAACATGTGTACACCTGAACATTCATTCATTGGAAGGACCGATGCTGAAGCTGAGACTCCAATACTGTGGCCACCTGATGCGAAGAGCTGACTCTTTGGAAGAGATCCTGATGCTAGGAAAGCCAGGGCAGGAGGAGAAGGGGGTGACAGGGGATGAGATGGTTGGATGGCATCACTGACTCAATAGACACGAGTTTGAGCAAACTCGGGGAGATAGTGAAGGACACGGAAGCCTGGTGTGCTGCAGTTCATGGGATCACAGAGACTCAGACATGACTAAGCAACTGAGCAACACATACGTATATATTTATACACACATGTGTATGTGTATATCAACCATGTATCCTAGGTTTTCTAGCCATCCTAATTTCAAATATTTTGTTAAACTACCTCCTACTTTTGCACATTTTTGTTGTAAAAAACATGGTCCCAGTGCATACGAGATTACAGAACATCTTACTTCAGTTGTAAATTATTGGGCGATTCCCAGTAGTCTGTAAAAGAGACTATAATCCAGTCATAAAAATGAATAATTAATTTCAATAAAAGGTTTTTTAAAGGTACATAATTTGCTGACATTTGCTATTAAATTCGGGCCTGACCACATACCCACAGAGCAGCCTGGATGTGGCCTGTTGGAGCCCACTCAATGGCTCCTGGGTCCTTTAGACTCGCCCCCATCACTTTCCAAAAACTGCCTATTAATTTATTTTTGGCTGCGCTGGGTCTTCGTTGCAGCCCCTAGGAGTTTTGGTGCATGGACTTAGTTGCCCTGTGGCATGTGGGATCTTAGTTCCCAGACCAGGGATCGAACCTGAATCCCCTCCATTGGCAAGCGGGTTCTTAACCACAGGACCAGGGGGGTACCCTCCCCCATCACTTGTTGAAGCACTTGCTTACTTTCTGGCACAGAAAGATACTCCAGGCTCACCTTCTGTTTTTCTGTCCCCTTCCTCGAACCCATCACGTCTCCAAGGAGCCCTGGTTCCTTTCTAGAGAAGTCTATCTCAGACCATCATGTATTCACTAATCTTTTATTGATGGAACACCTGCTCTATCTCCATTTTCACTCTTACAAACACTCATACAATACACATTCCCTGAAAGGAAACTTAATAGGAAAAAAGGGAGAGGGACATAAAAGAAAAACAAATGAATACAACCTAACGCAGTTTTTTTATTTACAAAGCAAAAAGCCCCGAATGCCAAAAATCTGCTTCTGAAGAGAAAGGAAATTATTTTTAGACAAACTATGATGGAAATAGAAAAGTACTGATTTAATACACAGCAGATAGTAACACTTGTGTCAGAGAAACAAATAATAGTTAATATGGAAATCAACATCTGGGGTCATATGAATAGCTCATTTACAGCAGTCTTTTACATAAGCGCTTGCTTTTATAGATTTTAGGGCTTTTCTATTTAAATTTCAGTTCCTTTTTATTTGATGCTTGGTTATTTTCTCAGCCTTCTCTACTTCCCCTCTTCTCAGTTACACAGTGTATCCAAAACTTTACCAGTGGATATTTTTAGACTAGTGATACTTCAGAACATTTTCTTAAGATCCCTGTTGGGGAGAACAGTTCACTCTGGTTGAAAGCTGTGAAATGAATACAAATTTCCCTATTTAACCAGCTGTAGCCCTGGGACAGGCTCTATTGTGCCTGCTGTCCACCAAAACGTCAAAGAGCTATATTTATAGCAGTAAAACCCCTTTACATTAATTTTCCACCCAATCCTCGTGGGGAATCAATCACTTGTGTAGAAAGACTGGTAACCACAAAACTGACAAGATGTGAAAAGACATCCTTTCCACTCAAATTGAAGATGTGAGGGAGACACCAAGAGGGGGTCACAAGATGACCTTTACTCAAAGATGCTCTGTGTTCAGGTCTGGTTACCAAAGGAATCCATCCAAGATGGCAGTCTATTTATAATCTGTTAACTCCTCCGCCAGGTCCCCTGGCAAGGGGCACACAGGACCAATGTCCTGGCTACCTGATATCGCCTCTAAGGTTGACCTTTCCAAAATACTTAAGCCCTACTATGGGTATGCCCAATAACCCAGTTCTCTCTTAACAGGTGATGACAGAGCATGAGAGATCC